ATGGTGGCACGTACCTGTGGTCCCAGCTACTCAGGAGGCTGAGGTGGGAGGATCACTTTAGCCCAGGAGGCGCAGGTTGCAGTGAGCAGAGATCATGCCACTGCACTCCAGCCTGGGTGACAGAACGAGACCTTGTCTCAAAAAATGAACAAATAATCCAAATCCATAAATACCCAACATGGGACTTAATAAAAACTTCTATGTATTCATGAGAGAAGCTCTAGCAACAAACGAGGTCAAACGTTATTCCCAAATAGTTGGGCATGGTGGTCCTGCAGTGAAGTTATCCTAGAAATAATCATCTACATGGGAACCTACGTGGCTTCACATTTTTGGGAAAATAACTCTATGAAATAAATAAACCGAACTTAGAACAGAACTAAACTTTCTTTTATTTATTCAGGTGGCCTAAAATTTTCTCATGTCTTACAATCATCAGAATAAACTTCAAATACTGTAAAAACTTTGAAAGCAAATTCTGATGGAGGGTGCCTTCTGGATCACACATACAAGTGGCTTCCCAGCTCCGTTTTGTGATCTCCTGTGTGTATGCTTTCACCCTGGCTCCTTAGAATAAGGAGTCCTCCCTATAACTTGCCTTACTGTGTGAGTATAATTCTATATGCCATTTGAGGACAGAAGTATCCTTTAGTGAAACCCATCTTAGCTCCTTTCTCAAAGAACTGGGAGTTTTGTTCAAACTTTGACAACTCCATCTATGTAGCTACGTAATTAAATACAAAAAGCTTTACACAATCAATACAGCACCGACAGCCAAAAATGCAAACAACTCCAAAGAGAACAAGAAGGCAACTAAGATGCACTCATTGAAAAAGAAAAGTTTAGGGCCGGGCATGGTGGCTCATGCCTGTAATCCCAGCACTTTGGGAGGCCGAGGCGGGCGGATCACCTGAGATCAGGAGTTCGAGACCAGCCTGATCAACATGGTGAAATGCAGTCTCTACTAAAAATACAAAAGTAGCTGTGCGTGGTTGGGTATGCCTGTAATCCCAGCTACTCGGGAGGCTGAAGCAGAAGAATCGTTTGAACCCAGGAGGTGGAGGTTGCAGTGAGTCAAGATCGTGCCATTGCACTGGAGCCTGGGCAACAAGACCGAAACTCCATCTCCAAAAAAGAAAAGAAAGAAAAGAAAGAAAAAGAAAAGTGTACGACCCTGTCCTATGGTGCCTCAAACCAAAATGCTATTAGGAAAGTCAAAAAAGAACAAAATCTGAGCTTATTATTTTATTCCCAAATCTGTCTCCATCCATTATATTTTTCAGCCGCCCAACACAGAAATATAGGTATCATTCCATCCCATCAGTTACTGTCTGTCAACATTACCGCCTGTACATTTTTCATATAAAATCCCCCCCTGCCTCCACTGCCACTGTCCTAGTTCACATGGGACATGAAGCTCATGTTCTTACTGGTCTCCTAACCTCTAGTTTAACTCCCTCCACCCTCTTCTCCATACTGATCTTTCACAGGAAAATCTGACCATATCTTCTATCTGCTACTCTGCTATGCAAATTTCTCAATGGTCAGTATAAAATTGGAGCTCGTTTATTTATGTATGTATTTATTTTTGAAATGGAGTCTCACTCTGTCGTCTAGGCTGGAGTGCAGCGGTGCAATCTCAGTTCACTGAAACCTCTGCCTCCTGGGTTCAAACGATTCTCCTGCCTCAGCCTCCCAGGTGGAGTAGCTGGGATCACAGGCGTGTGCCACCACACTTAGTTAATTTTTGTATTTTTAGTAGAGATGAGTTTTCACCATGTTGACCAGGCTGTTCTCCAACTCCTGGCCTCAGATGACCTGCCAGCCTCAGTTTCTCAAAGTTCTGGGACTACAGGCATGAGCCACCGCGCCCGAGACTTGCTTGTTTATTTAGCACAGAGCCCTTTCCTTAGCACTTTTGACTCCCTGTCATTATTATAAACATTTATTTGCTTATAGTTGGTTTCCCCAACTGTAATGGAAGCTCCATCAGGGCTGGATAGCCAGTAACTAGGACAATGCCTGGTACATGGTTGGGAACTTGGTAAATCCTCATTCACTGAACAGCAAACATCCAGGATTCCCTGTCTAGCCTGACCTCTGACCTTACCGCCGCCTGCCTCACACTTTACACTCAACAGCGCCAAAAACTGACAATTCCCAGGCCCCAGGCAGGCAGTGCTGTGAGCGTTTAAATATGTCATTCTCAGCCGGGCGCGGTGGCTCATGCCTGTAATCCCAGCACTTTGGGAGGCCGAGGCGGGCGGATCACAAGGTCGGGAGATGAAGACCATCCTGGCTAACACGGTGAAACCCCGTCTCTACTAAAAATATAAAAAAATTAGCTGGGCGTGGTGGCGGGCGGCTGTAGTCCCAGCTACTTGGGAGGCTGAGGCAAGAGAATTGCTTGAACCTGGTAGGCGGAGGCTGCAGTGAGCCAAGATCGCGTCACTGCATTCCAGCCTTGGCGACAGAGTGAAACACCATCTCGAAAAAAAAAAAATACCATTCGCTCAATCTGAGACACCTTCCTTCGACTTTTAAGTCTGAGAAATTCTCACGCATCGAGTGTCGGCTCCCGTGCTACCTGCTGTGTTCCTGCTCCTGAGAATCTCACCTGCGGACTAAAGTACTCCCCGTCTTGCTGCTCCCCCTGCCGGTCCACAGTCGCCAGCACATCTGCGACCTCGCTGGTCTGTTCCTGTTTATAGCCAGTCTTGCCCTAGTAGGTAAGGTCAGGGACCATGACCTTCACCTTGGCTCCCCGGTACTAGCAAGATTCCTTACATAGAATAGTCACTTACATAGTCATGGAATTAATGAAAAAGTAAATAAGACAATTATGATCATAACAATAGCTAATACTAGGTACTTCTCAGTATGTGCCAAGCACTGTTCCCAGTGATTGAGATTTTATATATATACTATGTATACATATATATATTTAATAAACGAACAAATTAACAGTAAGAGTATACATCTATATGTAGTTTTAGCTTCTTTCTCACATACAAATTAAAGATCAGGATAGAATAGTCTGTAAAACCAAGATATAAATGGAGAATCGTTTCATTTCTGCTTTGCCAGATGGGTATACAGGCTCCAAATTTGTAGGGAGAAAAAAAAAACCCATCTCATCTAAAGTGATGTTTCTCCCTCCTTTTAACTTCACTTTCCCTCAGACATAAGAATAGAGGCTGCCCATGGATCTTACAAAGTTGGTCCCTAAGCCCAAGTGAACTTCAAAATAATGTGTCTGACCAAACTCTTTGTGGAAAGAATAAACTAAAAATCACTCCATGAATGAGATTTTTTTCATGACTGCTCCCTATTAAATTGGCAAATATGGCTAGACACAGTGGCTCATGCCTGTAATCCCAGCGCTTTGGGAGGCCGAGGCAGGCAGATCATGAGGTCAAGACATTGAGACCATCCTGGCCAACATGGTGAAACACCATCTCTACTAAAAATACAAAAATTAGCTGGACATGGTGGCGTGTGCCTGTAGTCCCAGCTACTCAGGAGGCTGAGGCAGGAGACTCGCTTGAACCCAGGAGGTGGAGGTTGTAGCGAGCTAAGATCGCTTGACGACACAGCAAGACCCTGCCTCAAAAAAAAAAAAAAAGCTGGCAAATACCTGGCCAGCATCTATTGCCACTCCATGTCAATCACTAACTTAACCAGAGCATTTAGTGGCTACAATTTAATGAATATATGACTTTGCACAGAGACTGAAGCATGAATGGTCAGTTTCATCTGATGGCTGCACCAATGAAGATGGAATTCTGATGCCACAGTTCTGGTTGGGGTCTATGGATGTATTCGTCTGTTCTCCCATTGCTATAAGGGAATGCCTGAGGCCAGGCAACTTACAAAAAAAGAGGTTTAACTGACTCATGGTTCTACTGGCTGTATAGGAAGCATGGCAGCAGCTGCTTGTGGGGAAACCTCAGGGAGCTTTTACTCATGGTAGAAGGCAACGCAGGAGCATGTATATTACATGGCAGGAGCAGGAGAGCATGAGGGGGGGAGGTGCTACACACTTTTAAACAACCAGATCTCACAATAACTCACTCACTATCATAAGGACAGTACCAAGAGGGGATGGTGCTAACCCATTCACGAGAGCTCCGCCCCCATGATCTAATCACCTCCCACCAGGCCCCACTTCCAACACTAGGGATTACAATTCCACATGAGATTTGGTGGAGACACAGACCCAAACCATATCAATGGAGTCTGAAGGAGCATTTAGACCCAGAACCATGGGGTTCTCTTCCCAGCTTGGCCACGAACCTCAGAGGGGACCAGAAGCCAGGCCCTTAGCCCCTTTGAAAAGGCTTAGCTTCCTCTGTGTACAATGAAAGCACTAAAACCTGCCCTCCCTACCTCACAAATGTTGAGAGGGTCAAGTGCTGCCAAGTAATACACAAAAACAGGTTATCATTATTATTATTTACTGCTCCCTGGTTCTGCAACCTCAGCTGAATCAAAACTCCTCTCCTCACCTTTGCATAAACAAAGACAGAGGATTTTCACCTCTCAGCTACAGAGAATTGCAAAAATGAATGAAGCATCATTAGGGAAAATATTCTTCCCTCCAAGGCACAAAGGTGCTTTGTAAACTATTCCTATTTAACGCGGAGAGAAAAAAAAAAAATCAACCATATTACCATTTGTCTGCCAGTTCATGCAATGCAAATAAGTCCCTTCTCGGTCAACAGAACTGAGATAAAATTTTACTGGACACAAAATACAGTAAAAATTTAACTTCCTTATTGTGCCAACAATTAGCTTCTCAATTAGCTCTCAAATACTCACTGATGTAGGCCACCGAAAGGATGTATTAAAACAATAAAATTTGTTTAAGACCCAAAACATAAAAAGAAATTAGAGATCCATTTCTGTGCAATAATATAAAAATAATTCCTCCCCTGGCCCTACCCGGCACACCCCTTCCACTCTCTCCCTCTCCGCCTCTTCCCTCCACTGATACTCACCCGAGGTTCAGGTGTTTGAGTTTCTGAAGGCTGCTGATCTGTGTGGGCAGCTCTTCGATCTGGTTATTAAAAAAGTTGAGCACTTCCAAATTCTTCAGTTCTGCGATGTTGGGTGGCACCGCTATGGAAACAAAAATGCTGAGTGTGAATCTGGGGACGGAACTCCTAGAAAGGGACGGCAGCGGCACGTTTTGTTTTTCTTTCAAAGCAAAGAAAGATTATAACTCCAAAAGGACCATCAAATTCACCTACCGGTCTTATTTATTTTGTACAGGTTTTTCATAAGCAGTCGCTCACTTCTGAGTGGCCGCTGAAATGTTTCTTTGTATCTGATTAGCTAAGTGCCTGGCATAGTTTGTTTCAGATGGACAATGACGGGGGCAACAGAGCCAAGATGCACAAAAGAGAATTTCTGTACCATAAACAGCCTATAAAAATACTGTGAAGCATACATACTTATGGTTGTCACATAGGATCTTATAAGTGCAACTATTGTTTTTTTTTTTCCTTTCAGTTTTCTTGCATTGCCACCAGAAGTAAGATGGCGACCTCCAAATCCTTTCTGGGGTGGGGTACATTGAAGTTGCTTAAATAACCCAGTATCTGAAGGGCTGTCCTCTTAACATTGCATTAATAACAATATAAGCTCAATTTTAAATGATGAAATATTCGACCTCCCTAGTTTCTGATTTTGGCCTCTGGAGTAATGTATCTTGATCAATAACACACACATACAGACACACACATACATACACATACACACACACAAAGGTTACATCAGATTAGCAACAGATCGATACAGTGGTATTATATAGAAATACAAAAAGTCAACTCAGTAGCATGCTATGAATTCTAGTATGCAGATCCAAGATGAAAATCAGCCACTAGGGATCTGAAAGGTTCCTCCTTCCCTAGCATATATACACTTGAAAATACAAATGTAAAAGCCAAAGGCATCTTCATCTCAAAAGCACAAACTACAAATTGGTAGCAGAAGGAGTTTCCATAGACTGTAATTCATCTATCCCATTTGCTATTCAGTCTTTCCAGAAACATTTCTGTGGGTGATAAGCTTGGCCATGGTTCACAAAAACTCTGATACCAAGACTATCCAGGTAACTAAGAACATGAACAGGGGCCTGGAGCCCAGCCCAAGAAAGTGTGATGTCTCTTATCAGTCAGTTTACTTCCTATCCCCATCTGCTTCCTCCAGGGGTGCCCCAGGAGGCCGGGAAACTAACCTGCTTCCTGCAGTCAGACCTAAACTCAGACCCAGGAGCACCCGTGATTTGAACCACCACAAAGGTGTGTGTAAAATGCCAAATGTACATTTAAAATATTTAAGCAGTTAGCCATTTCAAGAAGACTAGTTGATAACTCCCAGGGGAATAAAAGTATAAGGACAGGCACTTTGCTTATTTCTGAAATGTCTAAGGTATCGCCGGCTACTCTTTTAGAGGTAAGGCTTGGTGAAAGGCAAAAGAGATGCTTTCACTGGAAGAAGGGACTGTGAAGAATACAGATTACTCTGAACTAGGGCACATGGGCAGGGAGCAGTGGTCTAGTGAGCAGCCCCTGGGTGAGCTCCTGAAGTGGCTGTTGAGAAAAGAACAGGTTTTCATCAGGTAATCTAGACAGCTCGAAGTTCCTCCAGAACCCTCCCTCTTGGATACCTGCAGGAATGCAAACGAACCCTACCTGTACAATGTGGCTGCAAATGTACATTCTTTCTTAGGTGCACAGTCCATGGAACACTTCTGTGCAAATGAATGGTATTCACTGTGTGTAAGCAATTACCAAGAAAATCACCGGGGCCAGGGGCAGTGGCTCACACCTGTAACCCAGCACTTTAGGAGGCCGAGGTGGGTGGATTACCTGAGGTCAGAAGTTCAAGACTAGCCTGACCAACATGGTGAAACTCCAACTCTACTAAAAATACAAAAATTAGCTGAGCATGGTGGCAGACGCCTGTAATCCCAGCTACTCGGGAAGCTGAGGCAGGAGAATCGCTTGAACCTGGGAGGCAGAGGTTGCAGTGAGCCAAGATCATGCCATTACACTCCAGCCTAGGTGACAAGAGTGAAACTCTATCTAGAGAAGAGAAGAGAAGACTGGCCTGGCGCAGTAGCTCACTCCTGTAATCTCAGCACTTTGGGAGGCCGAGGCAGGAGGATCATCTGAGGTCAGGAGTTTGAGACCAGCCTGGCCGACATGGTGAAACCCCATCTCTACAATAAATAAATAAATAAATAAATAATTAGCTGGGCATGGTGGCGCACGCCTGTAGTCACAGCTACTCGGGAAGCTCAGGCAGGAGAATCGCTTGAACCTGGGAGGCAGAGGTTGCAGTGAGCTGAGATCACGCCATTACACTCCAGCCTGGGCAACAACAGTGAAACTCTATGTCAAAAAAAAAAAAAGAAAAGAAAAGAAAATCACCAGGCTGTGCCTTCTGGGTCACTGGGATGTCACCTTCTCCCCCGAGATCATGAAGTATATACAGTACAGCTGCCCATAGACCTCATCCCTCCCCTGTCCACCCTCCAGCTACCACTAAGCCTTCATCTGATTAGTTCGAAGACCACATTCATCTGATTAGTTTGAAGAGCAATAACGGAAGTTAGTGAAACCAGGAGAAAATGATGATCTCAATTTAGCCACAAACCAAGAATAATGCAGCCAGAATTACTGCTGTCTTCCCGAAGTTACTCTGCCAATGCAATTAAATGCTGGTCTAAAGGTATCGCCTTTTTGACAGGATGAGAGATTATTTCACTCTCCTTGCTAAATCAGTCCAATTTAAAACCACAAATTATGCTAAATGTGATTTAGGGCTTTGTTTTGTGAACGCAAACAATAACCCCATATTCAATTTACAAAACCTCTCCCAGCCTTTGGTGAGCATGTGAATTTTTTGTTTAAGACTCCATTCAAGCTAGGTGAGGAAAAAAAATAATACACAGCTAATAATTTCCCTAAATATACAGAAATTTTTTTAACTGCCAGCCACAGTGAAAATCTAAAGAAATTAACATGCAGACCCTTCTGGATGGGATAGTATACACTCTTTGAACCAATATTTAGAGAATGCTGATTAGGTGCAGAGTGCCATACTTTGCACACACAGCATCTCAATACTCCGGGGATAAAGTAGGAGAGGCATGTTATTTAAACAAAGTAAGTTACAAAAGACACAGTATCAAAGTCAATCAACTGAAACAGGCCTAGTGCTTGGAAAATAAACTACTGGCAACCACACTCTCCAGAAAAAATAACCCAGTTAGCAATACGAATTGTGCCATGACTAAATCCTATACATACAGGGCGGGAACAATTTTAGCTATTCCAAAAAGACCACTGCAATATTTTACCAATATATTCTATTGGAATTTTCTAGATATCTACAGGACGCATGAGCAAGAAGCATTTTAAAACCTAACAGTGTGCATCAGTATATTTCTTATGTCTTTGAAACGACCCTTTTTCATCAATCTGTCCAGCTTCTGATCTATGACCCCAGCTGACCTATGACACCAAAGGAACTAAAGAGTAACATGGTCCCTGACCCTACAGTGCTGTGTGTGCCCTCACTCAACTCATAACCTCTCTGGGCCTCCATAAAATAAGAAGGCTGAATTATGACCATTTCCCAGGTCTCTTCCACCTCGTGTTAACATTCTAGGATTCTAAGAGGAGATGGATTATGATAATCAATGATACGGCTTTAAATAATTCAACAAATGGGGCCCTCAATTAGGAAGCTTAGTCATGTAGAACTTTGCTTCTGACAGAGAATTGAGTATCATTTTCTGCCTAGCCAAAGATGGTTGCTTTAATTTTGAGACTTCAGTTGCTAGGTTTGGGGAACAGTCCCAAAGAACTCAGATATCCCCTGGCTCCTCAATGTCACATTTCGCTCTAGCCGCAGGATCACAGGACTGCTGGGGACGCTCTCGTCCCAGAGCCTCTGCTGGTGTTTTGGAAAGGTGACGAGGATGTGGTCACATCACCCCAGAGACTAATCTCAAAGTTTCTTCTGGGCTTTGCAGCAGTTCCGCCTAACACACCCGCCATGACCTTTTTTCCTCCAGGTCCTCCCAAACTGAAGAACCCGAATGTGATTCGAGAGTTTTGTCCATCTCATGTGCGAGCCCAGACTTGGCAATTCACCACCCCTGTCTCCACCAGCACAGTTTCTGGAAGGTTCCACAAGCAGCCCAAAGTGCCCAAAGGGCTCATTCACTTCTCCTTGGCCGGAAGCACCTCCACTTTGCCGGACAGGCTGGAGAAACCAAAGTCCATCTGTGCGAAATACTGACACCCCTTCCTGAGCAACAGCTTTACTCCTAAAAGGACATATATCTACTGTCATCAGTTATATGTGCAACAGGCATGAGCCACCCAGCACTGCACCGTTGATGCATATTCACAAAATCAACCATCAATCAGCTCAAGAATAGGCTTCCCCCAACCGGCCAGCAGCCCGCAAACTGTCTCCCCTCCACAGGAAGAATCAAGATCACCTATGTTGTAACAATCGCAGTTTCAATCCTGTTGAATTGAATAAGGAAGATTCTGCTCTATGATCTACAATTAATAATTCCACAACTAACAACTTAAAGCATTTTAGGAGTTTACACAATAATAATTAGCCGGGTATGTTCTGGGGCTGGGCTATCTGATGGACAGCCACTAGCTATATGCAGCTGTTTGAATTTAAACTTAGATTAATCAAAATTAAATAAAATGATGAATGCTACTGTTGGTCATAGCAGCCCCATTTCAAGAGCTCGACGGCCACATGTGGTGGCTAGTGGCTCCACTACTGCACGGCAGGGATACTGACTGTTTCCATCACTGCAGAACGTTCTATTACACAGCCCTGCCCGATGGCAGCGGCTCTCGAACCACAGAGACACCAGAATCACCGGAGGGCTTGGTAAAACACAGATGGAGGGGTACCCCGGAGTTTCTGATTCAGTAGGTCTGGGGTAAAGCCTGAGACTCTGAATTTCCAACAACTTCCCAGGGGATGCCGATGTTGCTAGTCTGGGAACCGTATTTTGGCTCAGAAAACGTTCAATTCATTGGCAGCATCACCATTATCAATCCAACACATAC